GATCTTCAGTTCAGCAGCATCAGTGGTGAGTCCTCATTCTTCGAGGACTAGTGACATGTTCATCTTTATTGCTTTTAGTCTTTAGTTTCAGTTTTGCTAGATCTAGTTGGGGCATGTCCCAACATTTCTAGTCAGTTTAGAGGCTTATTTCAGACATAGATAGATTCAGCTTAGTATTGAGTTAATATCTTCCTTGTATTAAACTCATCAGTTTTCATATATTTCAGTTATAGTATATGGGTATTCCCCATCGCTTCAGATTTATTTATGATTTAGCTTCCGCATCAGTTTATTATCTTTAGTATGCTCATGATCATGCCAGCAGGGTTAGCTTGGGATCACTTATGGTCCTAGGTCCCGTGTCCGCGTCTTGGGGGTAGCTCAGGGCGTGACAATGCCGGTCTCTAAAGTTTTTGAATGTCAGCAACTGTAACAGCTTAGTTTCCTTGCCTTTACATGTGTGTGAAATGCCTTCACTTTCGTATTTGAAAATATCACTTTGTCCCAAATTGAATAGTGTTCCCGCAGGGGGACTTCACTGTCTCACTGGGTTAAGGATATTGGACATTGGTCCTTTCTCAGAGATGGTGGATTTTGAGGCATTCCAATTGATTTTTAATGGCATTCAGCAGCTGTTGTCCCTTCGTGCATTGGTTGTGTACGGACATTTGCACTGGAATTCTCTGCCCTGTCAGCTCATGCAACTCTTTGCCCTAATAGAGATCCATATTTATGATTTTGGAATCGAGGCTCTTCCTAGACTTGATAGCCTTACTTTTCTTGAAACATTACATCTAGAGAGGTTTAAACGGCTACAACATATGGACTTCTCAGATGCCATGCCTAAATTACGGTATGTGGAGATCTGTGATTGTTCATTGTTAGAAGTTCTGTCGGATTCGCTTGGCAACCTTGTTTCGTTGGAAGAGTTAAGATTGGAGAACTGCGAAAAACTAGAGCATTTGCCATCCAGAGATGCCATTCAACGCCTCACCACATTATGGTACCTAAAAATTAAAGGCTGCCCACAGTTCGAACAAAGTTGCACCAATCAGAGTGGCCCAAACTCCCAGTGGTCCAACATTTCCCATATTCCAAAAGTTAAAGTAGGTGGAAGCATAATTCAGGACTTGCGTAAGTCTCTGTTTCTCTTTCACTTTCGTCTTTCTGAATCGATTTCTTATACTTTTTCCTGATATTATTTTGACATTAAAAAATGAAACTTATCAATCAATTGCATCTGTGCTATGGTTTCAGCATTCTGCTTGTCCGCTTCGACCAAATTGTTGTTCTTCTAATTATTCAAGTATGGTATCTCTTGATAATATTTAATCATGAAATTTATGTTTTTTTTTCCTTATAGGTTACTAGTTCCAAGGTCATGCTAGAACGTTGCTGTGGTAAATCAAGCCAAACCCCATGAGCGGCAGGCAATTACGTGTAAGTTTTTGTTCAGAATTTATAGGCACTTTGTAATCTACTAGTTTTTATCTTTCTTTTTATTGGGAACCAATTTTTGGAGGTCTATGCTGATGAATACAACATTAATACCTTCCTAAAAAGAAAGTTTAATCATTAAAATTTATGATTTTGCTCATAGGTTACTCGGTTCAAGGTCATGGTAGAATGTCGTTGTGGTATATCAAGTCAAAATCCGTGGGCAGCAATCACATTAGGTATTTTTATTTTAGTTGTTAGAGGAATGCTATAATGAGTTTGTCTAGTTCTTTTTTGCATTGCTTTTCTCTTCTGAAACAGTTTAACTGTTTAACAGGGTTTGTTATGTTTCACAGAGGAACCACCACTTTTATTTTGTTTGAAGAACTGAATCTTCAGCTGTAGACTCATTACGGGATACTTTCATGAGTATTTGGGTACTGAACAACCTTTTTCGGGGAACTGAAGTCTACATATGAAACATCAAAAACTCAAAAGTGTATAGGGTGCTCAATGAGAAGCTACATGCATCTATCCTCCGTCTTTGCATGTGTAAGCTGCCTTATCCCTTTTGTGAGAGCTTCATTCTTTATAAATTCAGTGTTTTACTTTCTCACAGTATTAATGTCTGACCTTCCCCTCTCCCAAATGGTACGATATAAGAAGAATCTCAGTATTTGTCATATCTATTCAGGTTCTTTGATGAAGATAATGGAAGTATGGATGGTCGGTGCCACTGAAATCTTGTTAATGCTTATGAGGTATTCATGACTTGCACCTCAAATAATTCTCTCTGATGGATGCAGCTGGGAGGATGTTGTGGTAAAAGGCAAAAACTGAATGTGCATCTCACTGTCATGGCAACCACGTCTTGTTCTCCTTGGATAAGACAACTGCACATTCTCTTCAAGTATAGAGAAGCATTCGATTGGGATAACATTTTCTTGTCATAACTAGTAAATGTAGAGAGGGAAAAACTGTCACTCTGCCATGTGAATTTTAGTATTCTATGGTACAAGGTACCTTTATTATCGGCTTATTGGTGAAACGCTAGAGGTAACAAAACCATTTCTCACAGAAAGACACTTACATAAGCTTTGATGCAAGACAGATTTCCATTTTGGACCGAAATGTGATGACTTCTACTGATAGTAGAGGTTCTTCAGTTTCCATTTACTGTGTCTTCAACAGTATTTCCTTTTTCCTGGTTAATTTTCGGGGGACAGATTGAAACATTTTGCTTCAGTGGTGACTGTGGTTGCGCGAAGCTTGAAAGTTCAAGGTAAGTTAGTTATTGTCCATAAAAAAATTGCAAATGGTGGCTTTTTAGATCAATATTCTTTCTTTGGAATGGTTTTTCTTTTCCCTGAAATGCTACTTTCAAATTAACTTACCTATATCTCGTTTACTTTTCTTAGTAAATTGATAACTCTCAAGGAACAATGCCAAGTCTCATATATGGTTTTAATAAACTCATAAAAGAATAATCTTTATGTCTTCTGCAATGCTGGTTTTATGTTCATGCTTTAGACAGTAAAACTTTTATGAATATATGACACACTTGTCGTTACTTTCACTTCACAGGATAATTTCTCTGCTCATTAAAACTTCCGCGAATGAAGGACTTCAACAAAGATAGTTGTCACAAATCCTATAGCAAAGAGTGCTCCCATTAGCTCTTAAAATGTCCTAAGCAGTATCTGTTCATCTTAACAGGTTTTGCTTTCTCCTTCTTTTAGTGGTTACTTATAATGATCTGCTTCTCCATTCTCCCAATTAGGAAACGTGTGCCAAACTGACTTTTTACCATTTCCTGTGTTTCAGATTCATGTTTGAAACACTACTATGTTACTTGTGTTGGATGTGTTTCAGTGTCATCATTGGCAAGGGAAATTGCACTCCGTAAACTCATTTGCATTTGGCTGAATCTGGTTTGGAGATATTACTTCCCTGTATATGGAGATCCCAGAAAAGGGTCACGGGTGATTGTCAATTGAGCTTTGCGCGTATACTGAAATGAGAGTCCAATGGTCCAGTCGGAACACCCAGCCCACAGCTCCTGAAATTCTAAACTGAATTAACCTGGCAGTGTTGAATAGCATTCAAAGTAGAAAGAGCAACTTATGCCAGTTACTTTGCTACATTTCTCTACCATGGTTGTATGTTGTGTATAGAGCAACTTGTGTCTTGCAATTTTTATTTTATTGTTTTGATGTCAGAAATACTTTCAGCAAGACAATATTACATGGTGTTAGGGTTACAACGTAACTTGTTATCCAAATCGACAAATAAAATAATTTTTATAATACTTATTAAGTTTGACTTCAAGTAAGAATATAACTAGTTTAATGAAAATATTAACCAAATTGTTTCCCAATGATCACAATGAAGCACAAAAAGATATGTGTGATTCAATCATTACGGCTTTTTAGGATGTTTTGATATCGTGTATATGAATCATGGTTTGCTCATTTGGTAATTAGATTGCATAATAATTGGAGAAATTTGATGTTTTTCACAACTGGTGGATTTTTCATGTTTACAAGGGAAAAAAAATACAATTTAAGAAATCAAAATTGGATGTCCATTTAGTCAGAGCCATTTAGTGATATGCTATCGTCGAGCTCAAAAGTGTAGTGAACTTGTGTTATGTATTAATTGTAACTTCTTTTTTACGTTCCTCTCCTATTTGGGCTATTCCGATGTGTGATTCAACTAAAATGCTTGCCAGCCTAAATGGTTGTTAATCTTTTTCTTTGGCCTACCCTCATCGGTCCGCCCTCCATCATTAGTGTCACACATTTTTTATATGAGTTTCTTTTTATTTTAAAGAAAATGACTACATCTACATCATGGGTCTTTTTTTAATATATTTTATGGAATAAGACATTATTGTCTTATTCTCAAAGACTAGAATAAAGTTGATGTCGTTTTTAATTAAACAGTCAATAGGACGAAACACTATAATTAATTAATAAAGCACTAATTGATGTTTACCTACTAATACCATTAATTAATAAATTAATAATGCAATAATTCAGAACTCATGATACAATACACATTCCAGTCTGTTTGTGCTCACTACCAACTCTAATTATTGTTTGAACTCCTCACCCATCTCTATGTACTAGACAACACCTTGTGTCATATAGTATTTGGATCTACGTACGACCAATCAGTTAACAATTGATCGATCTATCATTGAGCTATTGAGGAATAATAGGAGATTCTATAAGTTAATATTGAGGTGAGTTCCATTGATTCATAATTTGTGAAATCTTTATCCTCTGAATCTATATACTCCCCCTTCATCACTTGGTGATTGTTTTTCCTTTTAATTTCCTATAATCCCTTCATCTAACACCTGGAAAATACAATGAAGGATACACATACACAAGTCATAAAGTATAAAGCTAACAAATATATTTCGTTCCAATTAGTCTCCTACAGTCAAATTAACGAAAGAAGGAATTAATGAAAAAAAAAGAAGAGAAAATCTCTATGCTTAAGTTTTATTGCTTTGTATACATTAACCTAGTATGTGGTATTTTAGAATCCTCATTTGAATATTGTATTTGTACAATAGTTAGTTAATTTTACTTTATGCACTTATATATTCTTTTTATTAGGAAAATCTATGTACTTTCTATTGTAAAAATGATGATTTTTTTAGTAAATATCAATAGATTTGAAGGGCATAAAATATGTTATTTGCAATCAAAATTTATATGAAGTATTTTGGGATAAACTAGAACTAGTTATTCGATAAAGTGGTGCACTTTTAATCCCAACCCAAATTTCCGTTAGGTTTTTTAACAGACAAAAGGTTCAAAATGTGTCTCCTTATTGAATTTGTGGAAGATAAGGTTAGTGCTAAATCCTTTAGATAAGGTAAGTGATTAGTATGTAATTGCAGGGGAAATGTTTAAGTTTTTCATAGAGTTAAATGGCTAAAAACACACCTCAATCCTGTGTGTTTTCGCGAGTTAGATAATAAAACTATCACAATCTTTGTATTAAAACACACCTCAACTACTAATTGGAAAGTGACCATAGGAAGGAAATATCTCATTTCATCTTGCAGCACTCCATAACTTGATCCATATCACGGGAACGTAACAACTTGGTATCATAGACAGGAGTTATAAGAAAACATCTGATTTCATCTGATTTTCTTCTGTCTAATTTGATGACTTATGAGTAAATCTGAGACGATGACCTTTGATAATGTCTGTGCCACTCAACTATGCTCTATCCAGATGATGTTCTCAAAATTTTCAACAATTTAGTAATTTAAGTGCATATAGCTTAAGGATAAAAAAACTGGTCAGTTACAATTTTTTCTTATTTATGCTTTCAGGTAACTGGAAACAGTCCTCTGATTTTATCCGTGAACTAGCAAAAGAAGACGACTTTGTGAAGGAGCAAAAATAACAATGGCCGATCCAGTAATTGGTGCTACTGTTCAAGTTGTGCTAGAGAAGCTGCTTTCTCTCACTATTGAGGAGGCCAAAACTTTAAGGAACTGCAAGAAAAATCTCAGAATGCTCACAAAATATGTATCCATCATCCAAGCTTTCATTCATGATGCTGAAAGACGACAAGTCGAAGATCAGGCTGTGGAAGAATGGCTCAAGATGCTTGAGAGAGTTGCTGAAGATGCTGAAAATGTGTTTGACAAATTCACATATGAATCTCTCAAAGCACAAGTGATGAAAAACCGAGCCAAACTACTGGAAAAAGTCCATAGCTTCTTTTCTAATACTGCTTTTAAGTACAAAATGTCTCAAAAAATCAACAACATCAATGAAGAGTTGAGGGCTATCAATCAGTTAGCCAATGACCTCGGTCTCCAATCACTGACTGTTCCTTCTCGCAAAATACTACAAATCAGAGAAACAGATTCCTTAGGAGTTGCTTCGGATGTTGTTGGTAGAGACAAAGATGTTGCTGAAATAAAGGAGAAGATGTTGAACATGAGAGAGGAAGTTGTTCGGTGTGCCATTCCCATAGTGGGAATGGGGGGTTTAGGGAAAACTACTATTGCTAAGAGAATTTTCAATGATGAAGAGATAGAAAAACACTTTGAAAAGAGAGTTCGGATGGGTCTACCTGAAATGTCAGAGACTAAGAGCTTTCTTGAATAGATCCCCGAAACATTGACAGAGAGGAAACTTGAGGTCTCTTGGTATCACTTTTCTTCAGCCTCACAAGTTCCAACTGGATTATGCCAGAACATATACCAGATCTTCTAAGTTGTTGGATCAGGAGAATTTGCTTGTCTTAGATGATTTGTGGCATGTTGACCTTCCAGTGTGGGATGAGTTCATGGACAGCTTGAGAGGAATAAACACTTCCAGAGGAAACTGCATTCTTGTGACGACTCGTATGAAACTGGTGGCATCTACTGTAGCAGCAGTAGGTCCTCATATGTTGGAAAAGTTAGCAAAAGATCATTGTTGGTCGATTTTCAAAAAAAAAGCATTTGTTGATGGGGAAGTTCCAGAGGAAATACTGAGTGTGGAGGACAGGATTGTTGAAATGTGTCAAGGTCTACCGTTGGCAGCAAGTGTGTTGGGAGGCCTCTTCCGCAACAAAAAGAAACATGAATGGTGGGCAATTCTTGATGGGAACCCCCTTGTTGCAGATGAAAATAGCTTGAAGAACATCCTAAAACTCAGCTATGTTAATCTACCATCTCCATATCTAAAAAAATGTTTTGCTTACTTTGCAATGTTTCCAAAAGATTTTAAGTTTGAAAAGGACCAACTAATCCAACTCTGGATGGCAGAAGGGTTTCTTCGTCCAAGTCAAGAGATTCCTGTTATGGAAGACATCGGGAACAAGTTTTTTCAAATACTGTTGCAATATTCCTTGCTGCAAGATGTTGAGCTAGATGAGCACAACAATATAACACAATGTAAGATGCATGATCTTGTGCACGATTTGGCTGGAGATACATTAAAATCTAAACTATTTGATACGGAAAGTGTTGGAGGTAAAAATCTTTCTCAAGTTCGATACTTTGGATGGGACTCACCAACTGATCAGATAGATAAGATAAACGAGCCAGGACGTTTGTGCACATTGTTCTGGAAAAGCAATATATCTGATGATGTGCTATTGAGCTTTCAGTTCTTGAGAGTTTTAAATTTATCCGGATCAGGCATCGAGGAGTTGTCAGCCTCAATTGGCAAGCTAATATACTTGAGATATCTTGATCTCTCCAACACTGAGATCTATGCCTTGCCCAACTCCATTTGCAAGCTCTACAATTTGCAAACATTTAGAGTCAATGGCTGTCGTTCACTCTTGAAGTTTCCAGAAGAAATGGCAAATATGATAAGTTTGAGACACATATATTGGTACGATAGTCGTTATGGAGCAGATACGCAGATGCCACTTAATATGGGGCAATTGACTAGTCTTCAGACGCTACAGTTTTTCTACGTACGTTCAGAGAAAGGTCATCGGATAGAAGAATTAGGTCGTTTGAAAAACCTTAGAGGTGAATTGAAGATCAAACATCTCCAATTAGTTGGAAATAAAGAAGAGGCTCAAACAGCATATTTACAGGAGAAACCAAATATCTACAAGCTGGCATATTTGTGGTCCCATGATGAATCAGAAGGCTGTGAGATCAATGATGAGCATGTGTTGGATGGTCTTCAACCGCATCCTAACTTGAAAGCCTTATCAGTAGTGGACTATTTAGGGACTAAATTTCCTTCATGGTTCAGTGAAGAGTTGCTACCAAATTTGGTCAAGTTGAAATTAAGTGGTTGCAAAAGGTGCAAAGAAATTCCATCCCTTGGCCAACTGAAATTCCTTCAGCATCTTGAGCTGGTAGGATTCCATGAGTTGGAATGCATTGGACCTGATTTATATGGTGTTGAGATTAGCAATAATGGATCAAGCAGCAAAATCCAAGTGTTCCCGTCATTAAAAGAACTAGTTTTGAAGGATATGCGCAGCCTTATTGAGTGGAAGGGAGATGAAGTTGGAGTAAGAATGTTTCCTAGGCTTGAGAAGTTGAGCATTAGTGTATGTCCATTGTTAAAAAGTACTCCAAGTCAATTTGAAATCCTGCGTGAATTAAGAATTGGAGGAGTTGACAGTGAAATGCCATTGTTGAACTTGTGCAGCAACTTGACATCTCTTGTGAATCTTGATGTTTGTAATGTGAAAGAGCTCACTTGTCTTCCAGATGAGATGCTACGCAACAACGTTTCTCTTCAATACCTATCAGTCTCATACTGCGGAGAGTTTCGTGAATTGCCACGAAGCTTGTACAATCTCCATTCTCTTGAGAGATTACAAATATCCAACTGCGCCAATTTCAGTTCTTTACCTGTTCCCTGTGGAGAGAACTATTTGACTAACCTCCGAAGGTTGCTTTTATTCAATTGTAATGGATTGACCAGCTTACCAAGTGGAATGCTAGAGCATTGTCGGCCTCTGGAAGTTTTTTATGTCCGCAATTGTAACAACTTAGTTTCATTGCCTTTACACGTGTGGGAAATGCCTTCACTTTCCTATTTGGATTTATCAGATTGTCCCAAATTGATTAGTGTACCCGCAGGGGGCCTTCACTGTCTCACCGGGTTAAGGACATTGGAAATTGGTCCTTTCTCAGAGATGGTGGATTTTGAGGCATTCCAATTGATTTTTAATGGCATTCAGCAGTTGTTGTCCCTTCGTAGATTGGGTGTGTGGGGACGTGGGCACTGGGATTCTCTGCCCTATCAGCTTATGCAACTCTCTGCCCTAACAGAGATCTGTATATGCAATTTCGGAATGGAGGCTCTTTCTCATAGATTTGACAACCTTACTTCTCTTGAAATATTACAAGTAGTGGAGTGCAAGCGGCTACGGCATGTGGACTTCTCAGATCCCATGCCCAAATTACGGAATATCGGGATACGTGGTTGTCCATTGTTAGAAGCTCTGTCAGATGGGCTCGGCAACATTGTTTCTTTGGAACAATTAGTTTTACTTAACTGCGAAAAACTAGAACATCTGCCATCCAGAGATGCCATGCAACGCCTCACCAAATTACTGTGCCTGGAAATTGGAGGCTGCCCACAGTTAGAAGAAAGTTGCACCAATCGGAGTAGCCCAAACTCCCAGTGGTCCAACATTTCCCATATTCCAAAAATTCATGTAGGCCGGACGAGGATTCAGGATACACGTATGTCTCTGTTTCTCTTTCACTTTCTTAGTCGATTTTTCAAATATTATTTTTCATGAGTTCCACACAAAAAGCTTTGTATGTAATTTAATATTAAAAATGCAAAATTAGATCAATCATTTGCATATGTGATATACTTTCAGCATTCTGCTTGTCCACTTGAACCGACTTGTTTTTCTTTTAATTCTTCAAGTATGGTATATCTTGATAATATTTACTCATGAAACTTATGTTCTTTTTTCCTTCTAGGTTACTAGTTCCAAGGTCATGCTAGAGCATTGATGTGGTAAATCATGCCAAATCCCATGAGCCGCAGACAATTACATTAGGTAAATTTTCATTTTACAATTTATTGACACTTTGTAATCTACTAATTTCTATCTTTCTTTTGTTGGGAATCAATTTTCGGAGGTCTATGCTGATGAATAAAACACTACCTTCCTAAAAAAAAAGAAGTTTAATCAAGAAAATTTATGTTTCTGCTCATAGGTTACTCGGTACAAGGTCATGGTAGAACATCCTTGTAGTATATCAAGTCAAAATCCATGGGCAGGAATCACATTAGGTATTTTTATTTAGTTGTTAGAGAACTGCTATAACAAGTTTGTCAAGTTCTTTTTTGCATTCCTTTTCTCTCACGAAACAATTTTACTGTTTAAACAGGGTTTGTTATGTTTCACAGAGGCTCATGGGGTACAAACGGCTACAACATGTGGACTTTTTAGATGCCATGCCCAAATTACGGTATTTGAAGATCCATGAATCATGATTGTCCATTGTTAGAAGCTCTGTCGGATGGGCTTGGCAACCTTGGTTCTTTGAAAGAGTTTAGTTTGCAGAACTGTGAAAAACTAGAGCATCTGCCATCCAGAAAGGCCATGCGACACCTCACCAAATTACTGTACCTGGAAACTGAAGGCTGCCCAGAGTTGGAAGAAAGTAGCACCAATCGGAGTAGCTCAAACTCCCAGTGGCCCAACATTTCCCGTGTTCCAAATATTGAAGTAGATGGAAGGAAAATTCAGAACTTATGTAAGTCTGTTTCTTCTTCTAATTTTTAAATTTTCATATCTTGATATGATAATTTATGTGTTTTTTTTTAGGTTACTAGTTCCAAGGTCCTGCTAGAACGTCGCTGTGGTAAATTAAGCCTCATCCCATGAGCGGCAGGCAATTAGGTTAGATAAATTTTCATATAGGATTTATAGGCACTTTGTAATCTTCTAAATTTTTTGTCTTCCTTTTTGTTGGGAACATTTTTTTTGGAGGTCTATGCTGATGAATACAACATGAAAATTTATGTTTATGCTCATACATTACTAGGTACAAGGTCATGGAAGAACTTCATTGTGGTTTATCAAGTCAAAATCCATGGGCAGCAATCACGTTAGGTATCTTTGTTAGTTGTTAGAGGAATGCTATAACAAGTTTGTCAACTTCATTCCTTTTCTCTCATGATACATTTTTACTGTTTAACCGGGTTTGTTATGTTTCACAGAGGGACCGCAACTTTTATTTTGTTTGAAGAACAGAATCTTCAGCTGTAGACTCATTGCGAAACACTTTCATGAGTATTTGGGTACTGAACATCTTTTCGGGGAACTGAAGTCTACATATGAAACATCAAAAAACTCAAAGCATATAGGCTGCTCAATGTGAAGCTACACACGTCTATCCTCTGTCTTTGCATAAACCTATTTGCCCTTTTATTCTCCATGTGAGTTTCTGCAATTTTATTTAACGAATAAAGTCTGATATCTACTTTCATAGGGACTTTGTATTTAACTTTCTATGAAATTGTGAACTGTTAGAATGTAAGTTGTTTTATCCCCTTTAACTTTCAATGATTTACTATCTCACAGTATTAATGTCTGAGCCTCCCCTCTCCCATCCGGTACGAAATAAGAATAATCTTAGTATTTGTCATATCTAGTCAGGTGCTATGATGAAGATAATGGAAGTAATGGATGGTCGGTGCCATTGAAATCTGCTTAATGCTTATGAGGTATTCATGAGCCGGTGACTCTGGTTGCATCTTGCACGAAGCTTGAAAGTTCAAGGTAAGTTAGTTTTTTAGATCAATACTTTTTTCTCCCAAATGCTACTTTTGAATCATCATACTTATCTATGGAACAATGTCAAGTCCCATAAATGGTAGAAATCTATATAAGTTTCTTAATAGACTCATAAAAAAAAATATCTTTATTTTCATGCTTTAGACAGTAGAAACTTTATGGATATATGACACACTTCTCGTTACTTTCACTTCACAGGATAATTTCTCCGCTGATATTGGAAAGTGAATTGGAAATATTATTTCCCTGTATGTGGAAGATCCGAAAAGGATTCATGAATGATTAAGTTTGTTCCACATGAATCATGATAATCAGTTGAGCTTTTCGCGTATGTTGAAGTAATCATTAAAGGTCACAAACATGAATAAGATTTGCGAAAATGCAATCAAGGAAATGAAGCTTTTACTCATGTTAGATTTAAGCAGTATATCTTATGAAAGATTGAGTATTACTTATTAGTCTTTTCCACTGTATCACAAAGAAAAGGGGGGGTTAAGTGATCGAATAACCATTTTAAATAATTAATGATAATTATATTATTTTAAATAAAAAATTTGATCCAATAAATATTTTATCTAATTTTCTCAGAAAAAAAGAGTCCAGTGGAATACTTGTCTTTGATAGAATGAGACACATTAGGAAATCCAGCCAAACTTTGTCAAAATTGTGTATTATTGCGGGAAAACAGAACTGAAAAATAGCGTGTTTTATAATATTTTGAAATAACGTAAAGATTTCATGTCTAAACTTATAATTAAAATTAAAATATTTGATTCTAAAAATTCAAATAACGAGAAAGAGGGAGTACTAAGAAAAACATGTCCACAGAACAATGTGTTTGACTCTTTCAAATAAGTACTACTATTCCTTCATTGGATTTTTTTTAAAGTTCGAAATAAAAAGAATTTACTAAATTTAGACAAGTCATTGAATAATAAATGAGCGGGACATTAACTAAAGATTTCTTTAATTAAGATGAGTTAAACAATTAGCCTTAGTCCACCTCGCATTAAACTCTTACCAACTTTTTATGGTTGTTTGTTTTCTTAGTCATTGTCTTTATCAAATAAAAGTATAAAATCAGTTTAATTTTTTTTTATCACGACTATCCATAACATATAAAGTAAAAAAAAAACAATTAAAAAATCAATAATATTTCTTATTAATTTGGGTACCATATTTCAATAATGTTTTGACTAAGCATATTTGATATTAAAAAAGAAAGGGAAAGAGAGGGGAAGAAATGATAAGTACCTCAAACGGAAGATGGTGGAGAAGAAGACTCAAGAAGTTGTGAACATTTTCACCGAATGAAATAGTAAAAAAGACTTATTTATAATAAGCTGTTAGGAGCAGTAAAAAAACTCTCTCTATTATAAGATGTTAGTAGTTGTAGAAAAGATTCAATTGAGATGTTTTTACTTTTTCAAACAAAAAATAATAGAAATTTTACTATTTAATATTTAATAAATTAGACTAAGAGTTGTTAAATTAAAATTAGTATATGTACCACGATGCACAGATAATATTAAAATATTAATTTGAATCATTTTAGATTGTAATATTTTATCTGACCATATTAAACATGTTACATTTTAAAAGTCCAATTAGTGTATTGTTCCTTAATTAAATCTACTCCCCCCCCCCCTCTCCTTACCCCGCTTCCCCTTCCCTTTCTCCATCCCCATAATTAATTCTATATGAACATAGATAATAAATATCATATGAATATCAAATAATTTTAATGCTTCATATATATTTCTCTTTATTAGATTATTTGTTGTTTAAAATTATCAGTATTAGTATTGATTTTTAAAAAAAAGCTTCATTTGGATGTTAATCCATAGCTTCATTTAAAGTCTTCATCATTTAGGATCATGTACCAATGCTTTTGCACATTCAAAAAGGAAGGCAAAACTACAAAACAAAACAAAAAAAAAGCAAGTAAAATTCAATCAATTCGATTGAAAGGAGATAGATGAGAAGGAACGGCGGGGGCTCCCCCCTAGTTGGGCGATGCTAGG